TGGTAAGTTGTTATTCACCAAAGCCCCTAACATTTACTGAGCCCAAGTCAACCAAAAATACTAGCTTATCTTCTTGACTAATCATTAAGAACTGTGCTCTAGGAGCGTCTGTCTCAAAAATCTACATTTGGAGTTGTTGATCTTAATATACCGGGATATACTTAGAGCTGAGAAGAAAAAGACAGTCATTTATCTAGATCTCTCAATATTCAGGTGAAGAAACAGGTGGGGCTGTGGTGGCGGGGGAGGTGGGATCATATTTTCTGATGAACACTGCTAACGAAGTAAGTATGAGCTTCAGCATATCCTGTGGAACCCCATGGAGACCTAACAGATCGTTCCGCAAGTGGAGGGAGGCTTTGGGAGTCAGATGAAAGTACTGATGTTTCATATGCTCTAAACTCATGGGAGATTCCCCTGCTTTGCTCTAATTCTTTAATCTTCAAAGCACAGAAATATTTTCACTCTGTAACAAAGTACTTATTCCCAAGAGCAATCAAGGACAACCTCAAGTAAGAGGGTCCAGACCCGGTTCCAGCTGCTTGATTTGTAGTAAATCATTTTCCACTTTGTGCATCAGTTTCTTCATTTGCAAAATATGTAGGTTATTTCTCTAAGATTCCTTACGGTTCTTTTTCTTTTGTTTCTTTTTTCTTTTTTTTTCCTCGGGGGGAGGTAATTAGGTTTTTTGGATTTTTTGAATGGAGGTCCTGGGGAGTGAACTCAGGACCTCATGCATGCTAAGCACACGCACTACCGCTGAGCTATACCCTCCCCCCTCCTTACGGTTCTTTATTCTATATTTTTAATTGTTGCCATCACTAGATGGAAACTTTAATAAAGTTATTTTACTCTGATCTAGAAAAGATTTTTAAAGAATCTTCCAATTCTCTGTTTTTGCTCATGATTTTCGTCATGCCTGGAATCCCTTCTTTATTTCCACAGGTCCATTTTCTACCAATCCTTCAAAGTCCAGTCAAGCTTTTCCCTAATTTCCAACCTGAATTCAATCTCTCGCTCTGTAGAATGTTCACCGCACTCTTAAAGCATGTATCACATTCAGATTTAAGGTTATCAGTGTAGAAAGCTACTCTTCCCTAAGCAAATTAGAAGTTCACTGTGGGCGGGAACTGTTTCTGGTCCTTTTTTATATTCCCACAGGGTCTGGTCCAGCTCCTGGGACACAATAAACAGTTCAGTAAATACTGCTGAGTGAATGAATAAAATGGAAAGCCATTTTATTAGAGCTTCCACATCTCCACGCTTTTTAGCCTAATATTTAGGGTATTATTATTATTATTATTATTATTAATCCTCTTCTTTAACATGGAGTATGCGTGTGTGCACAGATTGTAGTCAGAATTCTATGGCTTCAACAAAGTCCTGCAATATTTTTTTTTATTATGAAGATTAGATTGTTTAAATTTTTGGAAAATTCTTGAGCTAAACTATTTGCAAATAGCAAAGAGTAGCTTCTTCATGTTTGAGGGGTCTGCCTCCCTAAAAGGAGTTAGTTTTACCTTGATATTTCCTTGAAGACAATGCTCTAAATCCCTGCCAGAAGGATCATCTGTGAACAATGCAAATCCAGACTGTGCTGGCTTCCTCATCCCTGTATCCTGGTTCAAAGTATTCAAAAATTCTTCCACTGTGGTGGATGCATCAAATCCAACGACCTAAACAGAAATAACAAAGTTGTTCTCTTAATAAAAAGGTATGCACATTTCAAACTCAGATTTCAGTGGGGAAATAGGGCATACTTGATGCATGATTAATGATAACATATATTTATCTAGGTGCTTTAACTTTTTTTTCAAAGCTCCACAGGAGAAAATTAATGTCATCTTAGTCATTAGCTTGCTGTAAGAATTCAAAAATCTTGGCTTCAGCCAACAGATATGAATTCAAATAGAAAGATCATTTGACAGCTATAAACATCTTGCAGAGATATTATGCCAAGAACTACAGTACAGTATGTAATCTTTAAGCAAAGGAGAAAAAATAAATAAACAAGAAATGCACTTAAACAAGTGAACACTTTTATACATTTAATTTTTGTTTCTTTAATATGCAGTTAAGTATCTGAATTCCGCGATAAAAGGCTTAGAGCTGCAAAGACTAATTGCTAGCTTTGGAACACAGTTGCTTCAGTTAACACGCAAGCATCTAGATCTGAGAGCTGGCAGGGCTCGGACAAGTTTTCACAGATAATTCCTGTGATCTGGAGATTTTAGAGACTAAACCTGTACATGCCCCATGTTAGTAATTATTCCCTCACCTAGCCAGTACACTGGTGGGAGAAAGCCTCCACCAAAATATTTCTGTTTTTCTCCATCAGAATTATAATGGCAGTGAAACTCCTCCATTATCTGGTTCAGTAGGGATTTTTTTTAGTGTGAATCCTTTTTAGCAAAACTGTTTCAAAACTGAGCTGTCCTGAGAGGAGGTCTAATATAATTGCACGTTTATCACTGCCAGCTGCCGACAGAGAGGGAGAGACAGACTCACTTCCTTATTCCACAGAGGCTATACATAGGATTCTAGGCAAAGCATGTTTTCATCGGGTAGAAAGTCTAATCCACCTGATATATCCCATTCATGAAGTGTACGGGGATGCTGAAGGGCAAAGAGTGATGATACGGGTTTCGAAGAAGAGTTGAAAGGATTTCCATCCTTGAGGGTCTTGCTTCTCGGTCTCCATTCTGTTGCGTCCTTTCTACACATCGCTGGCAGTAAATGGCATATTTTCCAAATTCTGTCCTATAACACAAAATTTAAGATAAAGTCTAGGAATAAGTTTAACTAAGACTACCTTTTGTATATATGCAGCCATTAAGAAAGCTTTCCTGGTGTACATTATTACAGTGTATTATGCTAATATTGATAGCAATTTTTCTCTTTGAGTGATAGTATTAACTGCTGTCACTTTTCTTAAATTCTAGTGTCTTTACTTTTGCCACTGACTAAACCAGACTTCCCACGAAGCAGTCTTTATCTTTATTGTATTATTATAGTCACAAAATAAATTTAAAATTACCAGATATTACATGGTTCAAACACAGTAATTACATTAACAAATACAAAGCTAATAATTGTATAAAGACTAGTACAGGAAAACTCAAGAAGTACATGACACAGCGGAGTTCTCTTTTGAAGAACATGGAGGTTACTGCCTGACTGCTAAGCAAGGTAGGAAAATACCTTCAAAGATAAAAATATATTTCCTTTCTTCATAAAATATGCACTTCTTAAAAAATATTAAGCAGTAAATAAACAAAACCACTGGAGTGAATAAAGTCAGTAAAAGCTGGATAATCTTATTTGCCCTCCCTCATTTTTTATGAATAATTTGTATTCTGTTTATAAAAGACGACTGATAAAATCTCTTAAATATATTTGTATTCAAGTGCCTTCTAGGTAGACTTTAAAATGTTACATTTGCCCGGAGAATCCTCAGTGACTGCAACTGAAATCATATGACCTTGATGACAGAGTCTCCAAAACATATTATGAACTGGAGGGTATTTTCCTACTGTTTCCAAGTTGTTTCTTGTTTCATTGTGTTGGTTGACTTGTTTGTATGAGTCCCAGAGTCTAAACAACCTAACATGAACCTCTTGGATAAAATGATTCTGATAACCCTTGGCTGGGTACCCTGGGTCCCACTGCAGGAAAACCATTCTGGAAGCTGAATTTTGAATGTCTTATTTAAAGGAGTAAAAATTCTGAAGTTATTCAAATAGACGCAATTATAAAAGGCAGGGCGACCATTAGAGAAGCCGTTTACATAAAAGAATTCAATGTGGGGAAAATAGTAATAGGGAAAATAAGGAAACAAAATAGTTGCTTTGATTGAATGAACATCCACTAATGATAAAACATTCATTCTTGAAATGAACATAGACTTCTCACTTAAAATGCTCTTTGTCAGCTTTTCGAGATTTTACTGCAATCTTCCATAAGAGATTTAACATAACAAAGGAAATATTTTCCCAGCTCTATGTAAGGGCTAACCAAAGATTCCTGTACCAACATTTGTTTCACACATTCTTCCACAAATGTACCTGGCAAGTACATTTACGATTTATTGTAGACTTTCAGAGGCCACATAAATGGTTCAGCTGGCTAGTATTCTGCATACCTGGAATCAGCGTTCCTTTTCAGGTGGAGCCTGAGGAGCCACAAGAAAGGATGATGGGGAAGGAAGAGCCCAACACAGAGCGCCAAGAGCTGCCAGCCCTGGGCGAAGAGAAGCATCACAGGTTAGATCTACACCACTAGCAGAGGCTGTGAGAGCAAAGGGATGATGATAATCTTTCTTGACCCAAAATGTTCTTGCTTCTTCCACACATGCATTATCTGCTTAGAGCATTTATAATACATAAAAACATAAAAGCTCCACGTTGGGTCAGATCCATAATCCA